GAGCGTCCTTGCGTTTGTGAATTTGTGTCCAATTCATAGAAAATGTCTTTCTGTGAGTTATTCTTTGTGTCCTAATGGGGCTTTTCTTTTTTTCTTTTTCTTTTTTTCTTTTTGATTCCAAACACATCCTCGGTCGTCTCTTTGTTCTGGCTCACGTCCTCCCCCAGGGAAGCCCTGGTGTTGGACGGGCTGCTGGCATAACCCAGCCGTCCATCGGGTAAGAAATGCGAAGACTCTTGAGGAAAGTGCCTTTGAAAAAATAAATATGAACAGCACCTGAGAGCCCCACAGTTGGATTGGATGCAATGGGCTGATCCCTTCCGGCTTGGGTAGCCCTGGTCCTGGGCCCCACCGGCTGTCCATGCTGGGAGTCTGGGCACTGCCTGGGGAGGGGTGGTCTCCTGTGCCCAGCCCACAGATGCCAGGATCTGAGTCTCAGCTGCCCTGAGCTCAGTGTGGTCTGTTCTCCTTGAGATCCAGAACCTTGTGCTGCAAAGCCATGGTCTGTGGCCAGAGTCCCCACCTGCTGGTTGAGGGTGAGGCTGAGCTGCAGGGAGCAGAGGGACTTGGCGGGGGCTGGGCAGTCCGCACTCACAGAGCCGTAGTCCCAGGACACACAGTGGCACACACTGCCCCTCACCAGCAAACTCCGCCTCACACTCTATCCCCTCCCCCCTCCCCACCTCTGCCATCCGCCTAGTAAACCCAGGAGGGAGAGAACCTGCCTCCAGTCCCGAGTCAGAGGGCAGGCAGCTTGCAGCCCTTCCCCCTCAGTCACCCTTCTCTTTGGACCTCCACCCAACTCAGAGTGTCCACAGACTGTAGACACTCCACTGGCTGCGGGAGGTGATGGTTCCTTATCACACCGTCCATCTCTCTGCTGGCTGAGGAGCAGCTGAACCTCTGACCCACCTGTCCTGGGCTGAGCACCCGTGGGTCTGGGAGAGGAGCATGGGGACCTTCCATTAGCTCAACTTCCAGAGTTCCCAGGTCTCCTGCCTCCAGGAGCTGCCTCCCAGAATAGCAACTCCCCCCTACCCCCTGGTTGGGGGTGGCTCAGGTCCAGTCTGGCTGACTCCCATGGATCCCAGTGGCTCCCCAGCTGGGTAGAACCCTGCACCGTGTAGCTCCTCCTTCGCACTTTCATGACTCTGGGTCCTGGCCCTGCCCTGGATCCTGCCTCCCACTGGGGTTGTAAACTGGGAGGGTGCCCGGTGGCTGGGCTCCGGTGGTCAGTCAGCTGGGGGGGGGGAGTAGGGAGTGGGGGAAGGGATGCTCCGGGCTGTAGCTCTGGCTGGGGGAGGGGGAAGGGGCGGGCAGTGCGAGGCCCTGAGGACAGGAGCAATGGGGATGGGGATGGGGAGGACTCCGTGAGCACGGGACATCCACAGGATTTGGGAAGCCCAGGCACCCAACCTGGACCTTCCCTCTCCCGTTCGCACAGTCAGCAGGTGTCTCCTCGAGTGGAGAAAACCTGAAGCTTTTTCTGCTGCTGGGTCCGAGCCAGTGAGCATCCCGGCCGGCTCCACCAGAGCGCCCGCGTCCAGGGCCCAGGGCCGCGCGGGCCAATCGGCGGCACTGGGTCCCCGGGCTGCTGTCCAGAGAACAAGGCACCGGCTCGCTGCCCACTGGATGGTTGTGTCGCCTGGGCCCAGGCCCGTTCCACCGTCCCGGCAGTCACCTCAGCGGGGCGGGGGGTTTGGAAGTGCGGGAGTTGCAATTGTGCATGAAAGTGACCGGGGTGTCTGTGTGGGAAGGATCCAGGGCCACAGACTGGGCTGGGGGATGCTTGATGCGGTGCAGGGACAAAGGGCAGGAACAGCACCTATAGGGTGATCCGGGAGGGGGGCAGAGGAGTGGGCAGTGAGCGGGGAGGACGCAGAGCGGGGACTCAGGTTTGTGCACTGAGCACCCCTCACCCAAGTCTCACCACGCACCTGGGCAGCCTCTGGTGGCCCCAGCCCCCACCCTTTGCCCTCCCAGGGTCTGCTCTGGTGGTGTGGGCTGTGATGCGGGCAGAGGGGGGAGGAGGGAGGACTGCCAAAAGTCTGTGCGCCCCAGGACAGACCAGCCACCGGCATCCAATCGGGCAGCCCAAGCCAATGGGTGCCCTGGGATTGTGGCTGTGGGCACAGCTGGCAGCCGGCCCCCAGGGTCAGCGAAGTCTAAGAGGCCTGGCCACAGGGCCCCCCATTCTGCAGAGAGAGAAATGTGGAGAGGAAGAGGCCGGGCCCAGGGAAGGGGGAAGGGGAAACAGAGGGAGGGGGATGGAGCGCTGCCCCCGGATGCTGGGGTCTGGGGTGGTCACCAGGGCCTGTGACGGGAAAGGATTCCCAGGTGCGCTCTGAAGAAGGTAAGGTTCTGGGCCTGGAACCGGACCCCCCTCCGTGTGTCTCTCCCCCCAATCCCCCATCCCCCACAACTCAGCAACCGACAGCAGGTGCAGGGCCGCGGCGCAGCCAGCAGAGGGCAGAGTGTGCCCGATCGGTCCGCGAGCCCCGCGCCGGCTGTGCGCCTCCGGCGGCCGCCGCCCCCGCCTGAACGCCGGGAGAAGGCAGCCGTGGCCCAGGCTCCCGAGCCCAAGGCCTGGGGTTTTCTTTCCAGGGCCGAGGAGCAAGGGCGTGCGAGCGAAACTCTGCATCCACTCACCCACCGTCTTGGGCACAGACACACACAAAAAGGAGAAATGCGCGGAGACAGAGAGCCATGCACACGCCCCAACCTCTGGGACACGGAGCCCCCAGAGTCACCCAGGAGCTCGGAGACGCGCAGACACACGACGGGGACACGACACACTTACCCAAAAGAACCCAGACACAATGAAGGCTGAGAGGTGACACACAAAGACATACGAGCCCCCAGAGTGACACAGACACGGGGACACACACGGCCTTCCAAACCACGGATGGTCCGAGGCACGGAAGGGCCCAAAGATACACACACACAACACACATATATATATACACGCACATATATATACACACACACATACATACACGCACGCACACACGCAGGAGAGTCTGATATACATTCACAGAATCACACTTTTGAGGCCCACTAAGTCTCAGGAGCACAGAAACACGGTGCACACGTACGGCACACACACACACACACACACACACACACACGCACTGATGCTCACTGACACACACGCAGGTACCGGGTGGGGCTGGAGGCCCTAATCCCCCACAAAGCCGGGCCCCTCCGCGGGGCCCCACGGCCCCCTAACCTCCCTTGAGCTCCAAATCCGATCCGCCCTCTCCCTCCAGCGGGGTCAGGGGACCCGCCCCCCGTGCCCTCCGCCTTCGCCCGCTCCGCGCCGCTGCCCCGCTCCCGGAGGGGCCGGGAGGTCAGCCCGCGCCGCCCGGGCCGCCGCGCCCCCGCCGCGCCTCCGGGGGACCCAAGGCCCCGAGCCCCAGCACGGCCTGCGCACCCCGCGGTCCGGTCTGCGGCGCCGGCCGGGGCGGGCCGCTTGGTCCCGGAGCCGTTCGCTCCCGGGCCCTCCGCCGCCGTCCCCGCCGCGCGGCCTGCGGACTCCCCGGCGCCGGGCAGTTCCTCCCGCGGTCGCAGACACGCCGTTCGGACTGTCAGTCCCTGACTCGGGGCCGCCGCCCCCACCGCGCTCCGCCCTCCAAACCCTGCGGGGCCAGGTCTCACCCACTGCCCCCCAAACCCCCCCAAACCCGGGGACCCCCTTTCCCAGCCGAATCGTCCTCTAAACGTCCCGTCGCCCGAACCCCGGCCTCTCCCGCCTCGCCTGTCCAATAGCCCCCATTCTGGATCCCAGGGCCCCGCCGCGATCTCCGCTCGCCCCTCCGCCCGATCGCTGCCACGTCGGAAGGCTCCCCGGACCCTCATCCCAGATTCGGGGCCCACCCTGGGCCGGGGTCCCCTTTCCCCCCGCCGGTCCGCTCCCTCAACCCCGGCAGCCTGCCCCTCTCTGCCGTCAGGCCGGCCCGGGGACGCGCGCCCGGCCCGGGGCCACCTACCTGGGCCGGCGGTCGGGGTCCCCGGACGGCGCCGGCCCCCGGAGCTGCCGCGCTGCCCGCCGTCCGCGCGGTGTGGCCTCGTCCGGGGCCGCTCCTCTCCGCGCTGGAGCTTCACAAAATATTAATAACGAAGAAGGCATGGATGGAAGCAAAAGGAAAGCCTCCGTTCCCCAGCTCCCAAACCAATGTTTCAAGGGGGTGGGGCAGAAGGATCTGTCTCCAGAACAAGCCAAACTTCTGAGAGGGACCCACGGGGGGGCGTCTGGCCGGGCCGGGGGCCCCCCGATCCCGCGCCCGGGGTCGGGCGCCACGCGGGGCGCGGGCCCGCGGCGCGGGGAGGCCGCCCGCGGGGGGCGGGGGCGCGGCGGCGGCACTACTTGCCGCGGAGCCGCCGGCTCATCCCGGCGCAGGGATACGAGGCGCGCCAATGAGTTCAAATGTCAGGAAGTTTGAGGAGGGGTGAGGCGGCTCCCGGCCGGGAGATCCCTCCGCCGCCGGCCCCGGCTCTAAACCGAGCGGCTCCCCGGGCGCAGCACCATGGCACTGGAGTAGCGCGGGGAGCGCGCCGGGAGCCCGCGGCCCGCTGCGCCCCGCCCGCCCGGGACCCCGCTGCGCCGCCCGCGCCCCCCCCCCGCCCGCGGGGCCGCCCCTCCACCCCCTGCACCCCCGCCCCCTCCCCCGCCCGCCACCGCCGCCGCCGCCGCCGCTCCTCCCCGCGGCTCCGTCTGCAGCCGCGGCCGCAGCCCAGCTCCGGGCTGACAAGCAGGTGACAGAGGAGCCGGCGCGCGTGGCGGCGGGCGCCCGGGAGAGCGCGGCGCGGGCTGCACCGCCCCGGCCCGCCAGCACGACGCCGGGGCCCGGGGCCAGCCTGCACGCTCGCGGGGGGCGACCGGCGGCCCCAGCCGCAGCCCCAGCCCCGCGGGGGCCGCGCCTCCCCGGCTCCGGGGCCGCGGCGGCGGGCGGGCGGGCGCGCACCCTGGCCGGCGGGCCCCGCGGCGCGCCCCGCGCCCCATGGATATAGCAACAGGTCCCGAGTCGCTGGAGAGGTGCTTCCCCCGCGGGCAGGCGGACTGCGCCAAGATGCTGGACGGCATCAAGATGGAGGAGCACGCCCTGCGCCCGGGGCCCGCCACGCTGGGGGTGCTGCTGGGTGAGTGCGGGGTCCGGGCGCCCTGGGGGTCGCGCGCGGCAGGAGACGGGGGCCTGGTCCCGAGGTGGGAGCGGGCGTCTGGGCCAGCTGCTGGAGGCACCGGTTGGCAGGACGTGGGCAGTGAGTGTGGAGGACACAGGACACGCCTGAGGGACACTAGAGGGGCCCCAGGCTAGACGGGCGTCCTGCGGGGGCCGGTATGCAGGGACATCATCACCTGGGAGGAGGGGGGACAGGCAGCTCCAGCCCCCACCCACCCACCTACCCACCCCACATCCATCTTCGGGCCTGGACTCTAGAGATGCATCTCTGGACCGGAGGCAGGAGGTGGGCGGCAGGGGTGATGGAGGACACGACCTTGGCAAGCTCGAAAGTGGTGCCAGGTCATTTGGGGAGCGGAGCTTCTAAAAGAACAATGTCTCCCGAGCCCCCCAAAATCAGTGATTTGGGGGAAATTGGGGACAGAAGACCACGAATGCCACTGCGAGGCGTGTAAGCCAGCGAGCCCCCAGCCTCGCCTCGCCTGTGCGGGTCCCACCCGGCCACCCCGCGCCGCGCCCCTTCTCCTGCGTGTGAACCCCGAGCGCCGGGTCTCCGGAGGAGGGGGGAGCGCCGCGCCCCCCGGGCCTCCAGGCCCGCGGACACCCCGCGCCCGGGGCTGCGGATCGGGAGGAGCCGCCGAGGCTGCCCGGGCCTGGCACGGCGGCTCCGGCCCGGGGGGCGGCGGGCGGCGGGCGGGCGGGCGGGCGGGCGGCGCTCCGGAGCTGCCCTCGCCCTGGCGCCGGGGCTGCGGGGACCCGGCGGCCGGCGCTGACGGCCCGGCTCTCGCCCCGTGCGCTGCAGGCTCCGACTGCCCGCACCCCGCCGTCTGCGAGGGCTGCCAGCGGCCCATCTCCGACCGCTTCCTGATGCGAGTCAACGAGTCGTCCTGGCACGAGGAGTGTTTGCAGTGCGCGGCGTGTCAGCAAGCCCTCACCACCAGCTGCTACTTCCGGGATCGGAAACTGTACTGCAAACAAGACTACCAACAGTAAGCGCCTCCAGCCTCCTCCTGCTCCCCCACCGCCCCGCGCCCCGGCCGGCCGCCCCCGCCGCCAGCCAGGCCGGCCCGCTCCCCCTGCCGCCGCCTGCCGGGCTCCGCGCCGCTGGGCCCGTCACCGCCCAGGGCTCCGCGGGCTGCGTGTCTCCCGCAGGGGCGAGCCAGCCCGGCTGGGCCAGCACTAGCGGGGTGGCCCGGAGCCTCGGGCAGCCTCTGGCCCATCCTTTGTCCGGAAAACCAGCTCTGGGGTGCAGGACAAGACCCTGGGCCAACTGGGGGGATTGATGCGGTCCTGGGAGGCCTGAAGTGGGGACCAAGAATTGATTTCCAAAGGAAAGCAGTGCTGGAGGGAGGGAGGCCCTGGTGGTGTGTGCTTCTCCAGCTCAAAGGCAGGGTGTGTGGAGGTTTGGGATTCCTGGAGCAAGGAGGTGGGGTGCAGGGGTGCTGAGCTGCCTGAGCAGCCCCCCATACCCGCTTCCTGCCATGAGCCCCGCTGCATTTTTTAGTCCCCGGTGGAGAGAAAAGGATGTCCGTCCATCGTCCCCAGAACCGTTCCCTGTGGGAGTTTTGCACTTATAATTTTTGTTGGTTTGGAGAAGGTGTCTAGGAAAAGGACCTCAAGAGGTGGCAAACCGCAGTCCCGGGCTCCCCAAAGAGGTGGGGAACGGCCCGGAATCAGCCTGCTCTGCCTGGTGGCGCTCAGGGGTTGAGGCCAGAGGGTTGAGCTCTGCCTGCTGACTTTTGTTTTTAGCTGAGACTGGGGGGTCTGTCTGGCAAGGGGCTTGGGACAGATAAGAGATGTGGCTTTTCCCCCCTCTTCCCTTTGGGTTTTGTGCCTGGCAGTCTGATTGAGAGGGAGGCAGAGAGGCAGAGAGGTACAGCAGCCAAAAGAGGGGTGTGGGGATCCCCGGGGCAGCATTGCAGAGGCAAGTGGGTGCCTGCGACAACTTTCTAGCGAGGCCTGGAAAACTTCCCAATGGGGCTGCAGGGCGGCGGGCTGCTCGGTGCTGTGGGGCGCAGAGGGGCTGCGGGGGCTCTGGGAAAAGCCTACCTGCTCTGCCCAGAGACTGTCCCCAAACCCAGGCCTGCCCCTCCAGCTACTTGGCTGAAGTCAGAGCCCTCTGAGGGCATGGGCTTGGGCTCTGAAAGGCTCTGGCGGAGCCCATCCTTGGGCTGCCCTGGCTGTGCTCCCCGGATCTGGGGGCCTAGCAAGAGCTGGCTTTTGTGCCCCGCTCCTCTTGTGGGCTGGGAGCTCTCGGGCAGAAGCTGGAGCCAGATTCCGAGAGCCAGCTCTCCCACTGGCCCCAGAGCCCAGCCGAGGCCTCCCCCGCTATCTGGAGCACCCGGGATGAGGCACAAAGCCCAGGAGCCCTTTTGCGCCTCCATGCCCTGGACTGATGGGATTCCAGCCCCAGCAGAAGGTGAGGCCACCCGTCAGCTCAGCCACAGGCAGGCACAGGGCAGCGCACATAAAACGGGGAAAGTGGTTTGGGGTGGATGCGGTTGGCGGCTTTGGGCCGGCCTGGGAGCAGCCCCTCGGCTAGGCTCGCCGGACTCCGGCCCACCCACGGCCGGCCTCCCTGCAGCCCTCACTGGCTCTGCCTGCCCAACCCCAGCTAGACTCGGGCAGTGCCACTTCCCTCTCAGCTCAGCCACCGGCCTGGACCTCTCCACACCTGGGGCAGGAGGTGTAAAACCTCTCCAACCTCTCCTGCAAAGCTGATCATTCTACCTCCCCCCACTCTTACCCTCCTCCCTCCCCCCCAGTCCTTTAGGGAGCTTCTTGTTAAGACAAGGAGAGGGTACTCCTCCTTCTGCAGAGCACAGGACCGTAAAGCCACAAAATCGGACCTGGATGGTCCCCCTTCGAGCGGAGTGGCCCACCCCCTCGTTTTACAAAACAATCGGACGTTTTGCGGCTGGCTTTGTCCAACGGGTATTTGTTTGAAAGAGGAAAGGGGTGCCTGAGAGCGTTCTGCTCGGGTGCCCTCGGGGTGTGCTCGCTAGTCCATTCTGGAATGGGGGCGAACCCCAGCCTGGGCACCATCCATCCCCTCCAGGTGCCCCCTCCTCCTTCTAGCAACGCCACCGCCGATTAGGTATCCGCTCCAGGTGGGCTGTTTGGGGGGCTGAGCAAGGCTTGTGAGCCAGACACTCCCGGGGACGGATTCCCGGCTGCCGGTCACCCTTCGGCATTCCTCCGGAGAGAGCCAGCGCAGCCGGGCAGAGCAGAGCGGGGGCTCACTGGGAAGCAATGCTCTCTTCACAATAAAAACATATTCCGAGGATTTATTTATTTTTTTCCCTTTGAGGCTCGCAGAGGCATATTTATTACATCTGTGCGTAAATGCTTTCAGACGAGAATCCGGGCAAGTGGGCACACAAACGTGCCTTCCCGGGTTTGTCTGGGCTGTGCGTCAGCAGCGCTGGGGAATGGGCGACCCCCCACGGCTGCGACTTCAGGGGCTCGGGGCTTGGAAAGAAGTGGCTGTTTTTCTTAAGCTCCTTTTTCCTCCACTCGACTTGTCCTCAAAGCTCCCGCACGCCTAGAGAGCGGCATTATTGTACGCACCACGGGGGTAATTGATCGACACTCGGCGAATTTAATAGCGTTTGATAAAAATCCGCCCGGCACGCCCAGCCCGGGCAGAAAGCGCGGGGCCCCGCGGCATTTGGCATTTTCATGCAAAACTCGAAAGTCTCCTTTTTCTCGTGTGTGTGTGTGTGTGTGTGTGTGTGTGTGTGTGTGTGTGTGTTTGGGGAGGGGGGGAAGGTCCTGCTCTATAAGGGAAAAAACAAAAGCATCGAATTGTTCTGTGCCCGAAGCTCTGGCCGCTGGGCAGCCCGCGCCCCGCGGACAGAAAATCCTGCTAGACACGGGGAGGAGCTGCGCCTCCAAACCCCAAATCGGGAACCCCCTCTCCTTCCTCCACCCGAGGACACACGGGAAAATGACAGCATAGAGCTCCCCATTTTTTCCCCTTGGCGGCTTGGCCACCCGGAATTATGTAACTCTTTTCTTGCCTTCGGTCGCTTGCTCGCTCGCTCGTCTAGAAAGGGTTTCTGTCCTGAGGAGGTGGCGGATTCCTGGAGGAGGAGGCCCCGGGAGAGGGTAGGGATGGCGGGAGAGTCCAAAAATCTGTCACAAAATGGAGTCTCATCGCTTGCCAGACAGCTCCTAGGCCTGGGAACCCGCGATCTGTCGGTGCCGGCGGGAGCCTGTGTGGCGCAGAGGGACGCGGGGCTCCCGCCCGTCGTGCGCCCACCTCGGCCCCCGGGCCGGGCGCCCTCCGCCAGCGGGGCCTGCCGGGCGCCCTGGCCTCCCCGCCGCAGTCACCGGGCCCTGCGGAGCTTGGGAGGGCCCCTTCGGGCTCGCGTGCCCAGGTAGGATGCGCCAACCTCGGCAGGAGGGGGTGCGACGAGGATTTGCTTGAGTTTCACAAAAGCTGTCTGAGTCCTGGGGTGATTTTTTTTTTAATTTACCGCAGCTGGCTGCGTGCAGCTCCCGTGGCCCAGCCCCACTGTTCCAGCACATTCCTCTCCCGGGAAGTGTTTACACCGGCAAGGCCTTCCTGGGAGCTCACCTCCCCTCGCAGCACGGGCGGCGGCAGCTGCAGAGCCGGTGCGGGGCAGGGAAGAGCAAAGTCGGCTCCAGTCCCCTCCGGCAGCGGCACTGCTGCATTTCCCAGCACGCACGGCCTCCCGCAGGCCCTCCCGCAGGGTGCCAGCTCCCAGCAGGACCCCTCTGCCGGGGGTGCTCCAGCTGGCACAGTCCCCCACTCACTCGGGGCCGCAGACACCCTGCCCCCAGCCGGGGGTGAGGCCTGTCTCAGAGATGAGTCTCCTTGGGAGGAAGGCCAGCGCTTTGTAAAAAGGCCTCCGTGGTGCTCTCCCCTCCGGGATCCCTCCGCCAGCCCAGAGCCTGGGGACCGGTCCCTGTGGCCCCTGGGCGGGCACCTCGGCTGCGGGCGGAAGGGGAAGCAGTGGTCTTTGCGGGGCTGCAGCCGTCTGCCGCTGAACGGAGGCGTTCTTCACAGCTGACTCCTGGCTCACCCTGATTCCCCGGCTCTGGGCCCGCGGAGCCTAATTTGCCGCTTTTTTTTTCTTTCTCTCCTGGGCGGTGGGGGGGTGGGGGGGGGAGACTCAGGCTGAAAGGCTGTCCTCTGGGGTCTGTGATTGGTGACCCTCAGCTCCCTCTCCTCCTCCCTCCCTGCCCGCTGGAGCCAGGCTAAGGACCACACTGCCCTGGCACCGCCCGGAGCCTCCTCTGTAAAATGGGGACATGCCCACCTGGGGGAAAGGGTTCTTGTAAGGATGCGAGATAATGCGCCCCAGAGGACCTGGCATCTTGTTGCCTGGAAATTATTGTCGTTACTGTTCCCACCGTCAGCGTGGCGGGAATGCCTTGTCTTAGCGGACACACACACCGGACTGCCCACCACAGGAATCCGAGGCTGGAATTCCCTGCAGCTGGAATCCGAGGCTTGCAGGGAAGTTGTGGGGGGGCGGCAGGCAGCACTGGGGAAACCGGCCTCCTCGCCTGGGACACTGTGGGGTTCTGATGAAAAGCTTTAGACTCTGAGGCAGACCTGGGTGAACCCCCGGCCCCAGCACTCGGCAGCTGTGGGATCTGAGCCAGGGGGCTGCCCACCTCTGAGCCCTGGGTTCCCCGCCCGCAAACTAGGGGTGATGATGTCATTTCCTAGGGAGGCGTGAGGGTTACCCAGGGCACCTGGGGGGGGGGGTCAGTGATGGCTCTGTATTCCATGGGATCCTGTATCCTCTCCCGCACCTCCAGGGAGGCAGAGAAACTTCTGGTATTCGGGGTGAGAACAGATGCCAACAGGGCGCCATCAGGAAGGGCAGGCAGCAGGGTGGGCCAGGCTGGCTGGCGTGCTGGCCAGTTCCTTCCTGGGCGCTGTGGTGGGTGGACGCTGGACCAGAGCAGAGACCTCTCCCCTGGGGAACGATTGGAATCTCCAGGGTCTCGC